CACTTGGTGGATGGTTAAGCACCCTTTGACTCAACTATTTGGGTACAAACAATTGCATTTTTTCATATGTCCCCTTTAAGACACTCATTTATATTCATGTGTTTGATGAAACCAAGGCAGGACCTATTATTGAGTATATTTTTTTTTCATACTTGGAATAATGCGAATACAATAGATATATGTCGCAAAAAAAGATTTGTCGTGTTGTGACACAAGAGTTTGATGCTCTAAATGTAAAAACCTACCAAGCTCATTAAGTATGTTGTTGAAAATGTTTGGATGATCTAACTAGAAAACTGGTAAATGTTTTCAAGCCCCCGTTTCCCGCCGTGGCAGGATACCGAACCACTGACCATCAAAAGAATGCTTGTGTAAGTTTATTTTGTTCTTATTGATTTGTTTGTTTATAACCGGGTGAACAACAGGTGTTTCTCTGTAAACTGTATTACAATAAAACTTTGTTTTAAAGGATGTTTTTAATGACAATTTCCTCTTTGCTACAGAAATTTGTCACACATTATAAGAAACCTGCAGGCCTAAGATATACTTTGAAGAAACCTCGAACCATGGATATTGACAGATCCTTCTAAAAATGCCCCTAAATTGTCCATCTTAGCAATATTATTAATGATAGCAGCAGCGATTATCTACAGTATGTTAGTAATTTCTTCGAACCCTGAATACCAGATAAGACGCAACATAATTTGGACCTCAATATATGTCGAAAGTGGCCAGCTTTGCATACATTGGAATCTGGGAAGTCAACCAGAACAGCATGAAAAATTGTAATTCATTGTCTCAAAAGATCGTTGTCACCTTCCCCGGGCCATTGGGTAAGATGCCACTTGAAAAGATTTTACATTTTTACAAAAACTTGTCTTGTATGATGTAATTATCCTCCAAATGTCTTTAGTTGGTGGCACCTTGGTAGTCAACTGGTTCACTCGTCGGCCTCACAGTGCAGAGGTGCAGGATTCAATTCCGACTCTGGCCTTCCTGTGTGGAGTTTGCATGTTCTCCCTGTGCCTGTGTGGGTTTTCTCTGGGTATTCCAGTTTCCTCCCACATTCCAAAAACATGCACGGTAGTTTAGTTTAACACTAAATCTAAATTATCCCTTGGTGGGGTGTGGGCACGAATGGTTGTTCGTCTATCATTGGCTAGCGACCAATCCAGGGTGCCCCCACCTACTGCCTGAAGACAGCTGGGAAAGGCCCCAGCTGTTCGGATAATGGATGGATGGGTGCGTTTACTAGACACAGTTCTTGTGTATTTACAAAGTATTATGTTGAGACTTAAATTGAATATTTTTCTTAATGGGGGCATCTTTCAACAGTTACCATTAAAACATGAAATCAAACAAAAAAAAAAACAAACTTTGAGAGCAAATGAGTAATAACTGTGGAGAGTGACTCTACACAGCTGTATAGTGTATTGCTACGTCTCCTGACTACACAGGGCCTATTGAAACCCTATGAAATTGTATTTTAGATATGAAGTCATGAGGGGTGTTCACACGGCACACATTTGCTCCGGTGCTGCACCGATGTATTTTGTTGTGATATATTTTACACCGGAGCAAATTTTGTGGAGCGGTCACACGTACAAAGCCGCTGAGCGTGTTAGCACCGGCACAGCGTTGGTGCAGCTCCACTTGCGGTCACACGGCAGTTTCTGCAGCGGAGCAAAACGAAGAAAACAAAGAGCTGTCGTGTTGGTTCTTTTTAAAACATACACAACTCAAGCAACTACTGTACAGGCACGTCCTTCTCCATCTCCGTCTCCATGCCTTCTGCTCGAGAGTGACCGCCCCGAAAACGTAAATCAACGATGACTTCAATGACACTCAGAAAAGCAAACATATAATGCGCTAAACAGAAAATCAAGATAGGAAATCACAAAATAAATTCTATTTACAACAAAGGAACAAACTACACAAATAACTCCGAGACAGTCCAGTCTCCTACAAAAGGAAAGATGACTTTTGGGGACTATCCCCCCCACCTCACCCCGTTCTAGTTGAGATGGTATAACCCAAGAGTTGCCGCTGGCTCCTGTTACCAGCCGTGTCTTGTGTAGTTATTAAACAAACACATGATGGAAGTACAACAGAGCACGAAAGCAACGCATTCTCGCCGTATGTAATCAACTCTTCTCATGCGTAGCGAGGCTACCCCACCCCCCCGCAAACGAGCATTTGCTCCGGAAAAAAGATACACCGTCCAAAACACTAATGAAGAAAATCAATGTCACTGTCGATATTGTGTGTTAATAAGGATACAATATTCAGAGGTGTATTTTATAGACAAATGATAGTAATAGTCGCGGCGGAGAGAAACGCTTTATTAGTGAAAAGCGAGAGTTGAGAACCAACATCTACTTCTTCTCCTTTCTTACCTTGCCACCTAGTGTAAAAATTAAGTAGTGCACTCTGCCAAGCTGTGTCAAATGTGGTGAATTTTATGACAATTACTTTGGGATATGCCGCAAGCCGAAAGTCTGGGCTGCAAATTGAGAGATATGATTTTTTTTTTTTTATGTGTGCCTCCAATCGGAAAATAAAATAGATTATAATTAAAATGATCACGGTATATTTTTGAGTACTAAAACTAACATTATTCTTGTAGGACAATTTCCCCCTAATATGTATCGCAAAACCACTCACAGAGTTTGCAAAACTAAAAGCCCAAATAACAGCTTTGGATTGAGTTTGTCATTTTATAACTCACTGCTTTACCCTCAATTTCCAAATGATCGACAGACTCCGTGCAAAACTGTACAGTGTAAACATGTATGGCTATTATTTTCATTATTTTGCCGACTGTCTGGCCACACTGTTACAGGAGAATGCCACAGTTCATTTTGTTGTGGCTAAATGGCTTGTCTTTTGGTTGCAAAGTTTTTACCTGCCCCTCTTGTGCACAGGTAATGAATACCTTTTGAGTTGTAAAATCACACACAATTTAGATGGGAATGACAATATCTCACTTTAATGTGATTACATTCATGTTTCGAGTTTGTAATTGATAACTGAAACAATGTGAGTCACTGAGACTTTGGCAAATAAAAGAGTAAAACAATGACAATTCCAAATTCACAGAAAAAGTTCAGAATAGTTTTGTTAGAAAAGCACATTCACGTTCAGTGACTTCATGGAACATGAAACAAAATCATACAGGCACTTTTGATGCAAAGAGTAGATCGTTAAACTCATAAAATTGGCAAAAATAGGACCATAAGATTTTTTTTTCTCACTCAGTAACAAAAAGTACCGGTACTTACATTTGGAAATGGAGCAAGAAAAATTGATTCAAAAACTGCCAAATAATGATAGAGACCCCATATGGTCAAATATGACAAGACGTGGGGTAGAGAGAGAGAGAGAAAAAATAAGCCTTATTCAAGTCAGAAAACAAATAGGACCACATATTTTCATCCATCCATTTTCTATATCGCTTTTCCTCATCAGGGTCATGGGTGAAGCTGGAACCTTGACCGAGTGACTTTGGGCGAGGGGTGGAGTACACCCTGGACTGGTTCCCAGCCAACTGTAGTGTCAATAATAATTTAAAAAAAGGTGATTCCGACTGTTCAATCTTTATAAGAGGCCCGGCCCACAGATGGATTGAGACCTCACTATTATTAAGCAAGTAAAAACAATGGTGAATTAACGGAAGAACAACAATGAATAACTTCCGATCTGGTAGCTATGAAGACACAAACACTGCAGCAAGCAGACTTGAAACCGACGATGACATCCACTTCCTTTGAACACATCACTCGACACACTGACTGAAATATCGTACATGAGACGGACCGAACTGGGTTCACATTGACTGTTTTGGGGAGGTATTGTGTTTTTTGAGCACACCATTTACACTGCAAATACCCAGAATGTGTACTTTCGATTACATGTACATGTTGTTCTACTTCTTCCATTCATAACTTTGCTGCTGTGAATTGGGAATTTCTCCATTGCGAGACTAATAAAGGTTTTCTTATCTTATCTTATCTTATGGAGCTATTTAGAAAGATTCTTCATGGTGCAGTCAAAGTTTTCATCCAATCACTGCAGAGTGGAATGGGCGTTCGGTGCGAGTAATTAGTTTTTACCCGTTTAGGGTCGTGGCTGATTTGGAGCCTACACCAGCTGACTTTGCGACTTATGGGCTTCCATTTGTTCAATTACAGTATTTGGAATATTTTGTTTCATTAAAAAAAATTTAATAATAAATAATAATAAACATGAATGAAAACGGTAAAGAAACGATATGGCAACTATTTTTTTCCATCTCCATTTATATGCAAACACCGACTTTTTATGATCAACCATAAGTTACCGCTGTTCTCCTCAAGAAGGTTCCATTATAATGAAACACTGAAACACTGAAATAATATTTTAGGGGATGTAAAAGACAACAATACCTTCCCCGTTCAATCTCAAATTAGCATAATAACTGCCCATTTTGACGATACACAAAACTCAGATGATCACAGCGACTGTTAGTACATCAGTTGCTGTATTAGTAAAACAGCCATTGTTAAACTGAAGTGCACAATGGGTGAGATATGACCATATATACCACAGGTATCAAACTAAAGGCCCAGGGGCCAGATTTGGACCGCCACATCATTTATGTGGCCCGCGAAAGCAAATCAAAGATGGCAACTTTCATGATGCTTGCCAAAATCTCTGCAAAAATGAGTTTGACACCCCTGATATGTATGGTCAAAAAGGTTTCATTGGTGGAATTTGGCTGTTCAACTTGACTATTGTTACAAAACTCAAGAGTAAAAAAAAAAAAAAAAATCACTCATACATTCAGATGCACACACACACTACACAACATTCATAATTTAAGTACTGTACTCAAAATTCATGGAATTCAAGTAAAGTCCACAATCACACGCTGATCACGGTTGAAAAAGTGAAGTGGTATCAACAGCATACTGCTCCTTAAAGCAAATAACACAAAACAAGTTAATGCAGCTACGATCCAGTTTTTTTTTTTTTTTGTGTTTTTTTTGGGGGGGGGGGGCTAAAATGAACAGCACATGTGTTGGTATCTGTTTTGGTCCGTCATATACATGTGCTGGGGGAAACTTAAAAAAATAGATGTTAAAATGAAATAAATAAAATATTGGTATTATTTTTCCTTATGAACCGTATGAGTTTCAACCATGTTACATGAGGCAGGCACACTGTCATTTCACCACGGTTATTTTAATAACTCGATAAACTATAGTGGTTAAATAAAAAATACCAATTCAGTGAAGTACTAATAGTCCACTCAGCAATGTGTTTTGGTAGCAAATAATTATTTGTGTTGGTGTTTTTAGAACACTGTCTTTGATGGGTACACGAAGAGAAACATTGGCAGTTAAGTTTACAAACTCTTGCATATTGCCAAATGACAGACTCGAAAGAAAAATGTCACTTATTGGTAATACAAATGTCTGATTTCAACTTAGAGCCCAGTGAGGTCTACGATGGCCTTGATGAAGATGGTGTCATCACGAATGTAAGAGTTTTTAGATTCCAGTTTGGAGAGTGGACAGAAGAGCGGGCAGCCACTGGCAATGTTCATGTCGCTGACAGGCCTCTGGAAGGATGAGGACGAGATGTCGGGCCGGAACGCATCGATGATGTGCTCCCTGTTGTTCTGGTCAAGCAGCATTAGGGTGACCTGGGTACAGATGTGGACAGCTTCCTTAAAACAAGATTTCCACAATGCGGTAAAAAGGCCAGTTGTGATACAGTGGTGCCACGATTTAAGAGTTTTTCATTTGTTCTACAACCAAGCTTGTACCTCAATAGCCCCTTTTCCACCAACAGGCCCGGGAACCTTTTATTCCGGGTAATCTAAATTCCAGGGAATACAAACTTTCAGTGGCCCAGATGGTTTGCATTTCCACTGCAACTCATTGTTCTTGGTAGATCACGCAAATGAGACTGATCATATATTCAGGGGGAGCTGTTGTGTTACTTTGTTACTCATTACTGACACCCTCTGGCTCTAAAAAGTCATTGCAGTTACTTCAGTGACCTTTAAAGTTAGTTTTATTATTCTATTCTGTCACTTAATCAAAGTTGAAAACATATTGGATTGCTTTCAAACAAACAATCGTTTTTTGAATGTGTCAACATGAAAGTCAGAGTAAAAGTGTCGTTGCTTAGGTGACCCCGTCTCTCGACGCGCTAACCAGTCCACCTGGCCACCTATATAATAATAATTAAAAAATATATATATTCATTCATTCATTTTCCGAACCACTTTATCCTCACTAGGGTCGCGGGGGGTGCTGGAGCCTATCCCAGCCGTCTTGGGGCAGTCGGCGGGGGACACACTGAACCGCTTGCCAGCCAATCGCATGGCACACAGACACAAACAACCATCCGTGCTCACACCCCACCAAGGGATAATTTAGATTTAGTGTTAAACTAAACTACCGTGCATGTTTTTGGAATGTGGGAGGAAACCGGAATACCC